TAAAATTATAATTTGGTTTGTTGCAAATTTTTTTACTTAGGATAACACAGTCGATAGATACATACATGAAATACATACATACATACATAGTAACGTATGTAGTTATAGTGGGTTAGACCAATGCATACAGTGCTACGATTAGTTGAACGCAATGATGAAGAAAAAAATAAAAATAAAAAAATAAAATAAAGAGTAATATTTAATAATTCAAGAATTAAAGATTTAAAAGTTGCGCTGAAATTTCTTAACTTAGTACTTAATAGGGTAAATAAGTATTTTTTTTTTTTTTAAATTAACGCCGATTAAGATTAAAGAAAAAAAAATGCGTAAAAGTTAAATAGTTTTAGTGACTCAGAGAACAGTAATTGCATAATTAATATCCAAAACAAAGAAGTAACTAAGCGGCCAAAAGTGAAAACGAAACGTACTTAAAATAGTGGTTTTTCTTAAAGCAAATACAAAATTATATATACACATATACACACATAATTAACTAAAGTCAAAGCTAGGCACATACGAACATATTTGAAACACTTAGCCGCACGGAGAGCAGCAGTTGAAAGTATTCCACAAAAAAAAAAAAAGAAGCGCATAGAAATATTAGAAGTGTGTTAAGCAGTAGAATTCAGAATTTGTAAGCAGAATTTCATTAGTTATTGCGCCAAAGTTATAAAAAATTTAGAAACCAAAGCAGCTAGATAAAAGATAGCTTTTACATGCAGTAAAATTTGCGTTTGCCCAGTAGAACGAAATGCAGAAAAAAAGACACAGTTCAGAACTCGAAAAAAAACAAAAAACAAAAACGTACAATGAAAATAAACTAAAGTTTGAGAAGAAAATTACAAAGTTTAAAAAGCACGAGAAAACGTGCGAATATTACACACACACACACGAATGCAATAAATATCAACAGCCAACAGATTTTCGTCCAAAACTTTAAACTGATTTGTATGTTTGTTCGTGCGTAAATTCATATGTCTGTATGTAATCGTGTGGCCATTGTTTTAGCGTTGCAGGCTTGTATTGTACTAGCAAAATTTTTTTTTGTAGCTAAACCATCTGTCTAGTGGACAAAAAACCACACAAAAAGTATTTTGCGATGCTAGTTCAAAAATTTATTTTTATTTATTTTTTCAACAAAAAAAAAAACTATTGGCAATGGCTGTTTACTAGGTTTCCTGAATCCATCCACTTAAACTAGATTTTTAGATTTAGATTTTTTAAATTTATTTATTTTCAAAAAATTTTTTTAAATATATTTAGTCAAATTTAAAATTTGCCGGTTATCCAATGACTCTGAGTGATGTCTATTTGAAAAAACGAAACAGTAAACAACACGAAATGGGCAGAATAGTGCTGAAATGCGCAATTTGAGTCAGCGAGTTGAGCATTCAATGTAGTAAGTTGTGCAAATGCATGGAAAATTAAGGAGCGAATAGCTATCTAACTAGTTTTTAAACGATTGTTTTTGATCTATAAAAACATGTGTTAATGTTGTTTCAGTCTCTTAAAAAAAAAATTAAAGACAACGCAAATTAGATACGTCCTAAACATTCAAGTAAATCTGTCCACCAACTTGCGTACATCTATTCGTTAAGCATTTTATTATCTCTGCTACATTAATTTACATATGTAAATGCATTCGTATATGTATGTATATATAATTGTATGTATCATACATTTAGCTTAAGGCTCATAAAAAAAAAATTGCAAAAAAAATATTAATAAAAACGTACTTGCGGCATTTCTTTTTGTAAATAAAACTATGTTACTGCTTTATAGTGGATTATAGTAAGTAAGGCAAGTTTAAACTAAAGAAAAAAAAAATGCAAACAGTAAATCTAAGAAAATTAAAAAAAAAACATAATAATAATAATTAAGGTTTTATGCACATTTTGCATGTGGTGGTGGTATTGGTTTTAATTTAAACCAAAACAAAAGAAAAACACAAAAAACAACGGATTACAACAATATTCAAAAAAAATTATCAAAAAATAAAAACGTAAATTACTAGCTAAGCGTTCTGTTGATGGCAGTTTGTAAAAAAAAAGCTTAACATTTTAAAAACAATTAAGCATTGATACATTAATTATTAACTTAACTGCTTGTAAAACGATCCAAATTTAAAAATGAACATAATTTATTGCAAACCAAATTCCACATACAACAACGTACATACATACATATAGCGCATGAAACGCAGTAGTTATGCAAATACTTGCAGCCGCGCGGAGATTAGTGGCTAATTCAAAATCAACAGCGCAAAATACACACACACACACACACAAAAATATGAAATCAATTAAATAAATTAAAATGATAATAAATTATATCTAGTAATTGATAAAAAAAAAAAACAGTAAGCCACAATAAAAAATAACTCAAGCATCGATAATTTTCAATTAGTTTTGTGACATTTTTCCCTCCTTTTGCCCCACAAAATGAAGGAAGTAAATATTAGGCTTAAATAAATACAAATTTAAATAAATACAACTTCAAGTTAAATAAAAAACGCATAAATAAAGTTTTAGCGATCACTAATTACCTAACTACATACATACATTATATAGGCATTATAAAAAATTGTATGCTGGCGCGTATAAATGACAAAACCGGTAAGTGTGCTATCACAATTTTANAAATAAAGTTTTAGCGATCACTAATTACCTAACTACATACATACATTATAAAAAATTGTATGCTGGCGCGTATAAATGACAAAACCGGTAAGTGTGCTATCACAATTTTGGGCTATTTAAGTTATTCTATTTGATATCTGCAGTGAAAATTCACCAAACTAACAAATACATTTTTATAATTTGGCTTTGCTATGTACAGGTCTTTTCTGAGCTGGTAACAACCTTTTTTTTAATCAGTAAATCGACGACTGAGTGGAAGATACACCTATCTTGGTAGGCGGTACGAAAACGCCCTATCTCGGAAAATTTGCAAGAACATTAAAAATTTGGTTGAAGAACGCCCTGTTTCGAATAATATATTCGCAAAACTATGGGGAAAATATAGTAGAACTGCGTTTTTAAGTTTTTCACTCTGACGTCAGGATTTCTTTATAAAGAATTTTCAAATTTCAAAGATATCATTAATTCAAAAAAGTTCTGTGGCAAAAACAAAAAAAATCTGTGTAATATAGAATAACAATGTGAAAATCCAATAAAAGAGTGAATTCTGTAGAATTCAAAAAGATTAGATTTTTTGCTGCAGAGGGACGAAAAAAATTTTGTACTTGAATATCCCTAAAAATGTGCAACATTTATTTTTGAAAAAATTGGATGCTAAGGGCTAACATGCACGCGACCTCGAATTTTTACCTCCTTACTTTATTAACTTCAAAAAGTAAAATTTATTAAAATCGCATTTTCAAAACCTTTTCCTCCTTGTAAACCAAAAAACTTAAATGATTTTAAATTTTCTCTTTCATTTGGTATTCTACATTGCGCAGATTTTTTTTTACAATTTTTGAATTAAACATATCTTTAAACGCACGGTGTAAATAATAGTCACGAAGTATTTAGAAAACATCATAATATTTCGTATTTGCCGAGTTTCCCATATCATTTAGGTGGCTGATAAAGATAAGAACATTTCTTATCCTACTTGCTTTGAGATTATAGCTCCAGCACTTATCCTATCTACTTGCTCAGCAAGAGCCGATGACCGTAATAGTGGGCGTTATCCTGAACATTTTTTTTCTCGATCTCCTTAAAAGGTCACCAGGCTGCTATTCGCACCGGCAGCGTAGTCTGATGTCATTGCTGTTTAATTGATTAACATTCGATCTATTTCAAGGACAGCCGAAGATTTTATGCGATAAATACACCACACAACCGATTTGACAAACCTGCTTCAAACATACTTTTTCCATTTCGCCATACACCATACAAGCATGACTCGTTCAAGCAGAGAGGCTTAATTTTCTTTCGGCTCACAAAGTAAGAAAGCTTGGTATTCTTCAATTTTTCTCTCATACCACCCCACTCAATGAAAATATTTTTGCAAATGCGACAATTCTGCCATACAAACGATTGAGCCAAACCACAATATGGCGGCCAAAAACTCTGGACATTTGGAAATTTTTTTTCAAACATCCTTCAAGTGGTTTGTCAAACCTTTCAACCGCCCCATACCTACACTACACAAAAGGTTTGAACTAAAGGGAAATTTCGGCATGTTTCACCAAGCGCCCTCATTGCCTCCCAGTACTTAGTGAGTTCAGGACCAAGTGTTTTTAACGAGCTTTTGTTTCATCGTCCTGTTTTAAAGGTTACGGAAGGCTGCTTGGCTATCTGAAAAAATAAGTGGAAAGGCGCCTTTCAAAAGCTTTTCAAGGTTTAATTTTCCACAGATCAAAATTAAGGTAACACACTTTCTTTTAATGCGCTTAGTTTGTTAGCCCATTTTAAGGTACATAAACGACAGCCAATTTAATTACATTAAATACAAGCTAACCAGTATAAAATGGAGTAGCTGCAACATTTGAAATCGGCGATTGAATAACAAGCTTGTAATATAATACCAATTCATTATTAATTAAATTAATTAGAGTACCATATTTTAAAAAATTCAAATACACACACAACAAACGAAACACGAATTCATACATATGTATGTACACATATATTTACACAAAATCGCAACCAATCGACATACATGGACA